GACCATGGCCTGTATCAGACGCACCTTAGTCTCCAGAGAGACACTATTGCTCTTAAGTACTTTGGAGAGGTCCCCAACAGCAGACTTTCCCATGGCAATATGTCTTTTCATTTCCTGGCTACTGGTGCCAAGAGTGTTGACTGTGGAGCCAAGCAAACTAAAGCTGTGAACAATCTCATAGCATCTAAAAACCCACAGGAGGGTCAGCCATGAGTTGGTTCTGACTCGATGGCAATAAACAGTAACAACATTTTTGTAAAATTAAATATATTAGTTTAACAGTAATTTATTTTCTTATTGTTGTTGTTGTTATGTATCAGAGAGTCAGAGTCAACCCATAGCTGACCCTTCAGCAGGTTTTCAGAGACAGTTAACCACATGGGAGAAGACTGCCTATCCTTCTCCCGCCGAAGAGCTGGTGGTCTCTAACCATGGGCCTTCAGGACTGCAGCTTCTTGCCACCAGGCTGCCAGAGCTCCCCATTTTCTTATTAGAAGACATAAAAATAAATAGCAAGCAACAAATGCTGGCAAGGTTGTGGAGAAACTAGAACCCTTATTCACTGTTGATGGGAGTGTAAAATGATGCAACCACTGTGGGAGGCAGTGTGGCGCTTTCTCAAAAAGTTGCAAATAGAGATTACATTTAACCCAGCATAATTAACCATAATTGACACCCAAGCAGATATATGCACACCCATGTTTATCGTGGCTTTGTTCACAATAGCAAAGAGTTGGAAACAACCTAAGTGGCCATCAACAAACGAATGGATAGAGAAACTGTGGTATATTCACACAATGGAATACTATGCTACATTGAGAAATATTATTCAAAATGGGTAACCCTGGAAGATGTTATGCTGAGTGAAGTATCTCAGTCACAAAAGGACAAATACTGTATAGTGCCACTGTTGTAAAACTGGACTGACATCAGGCTTGGGGGGAGGGGAGACTGAGAAAGATGGGATAAATAATGTGCACTACATTGAAACAGATGAGGGAGAAAACTGTTTAAATGGGATATGTGATTAGGTATTTTTTTATGGATTTTTCTTTTTTATTAAGATTTGGGTACATCAAATAAAATCACTTTTTTGGGGGGAGGGTGTGGAAAAACCAAAACCCACAATAGAAAAAAAATTTTCCTGGGCTACAGCAGAACCCAGACAGTAGTTATATAATTGAAAAATTCTAGATGTTTCATAATTGACCTTTTGATACAAAATGACCTATTAAACTTGCAATTTGTAGTTCTTGATGTTGAGGTCCATAGGACAAGTGAGGAAGTCTTCATCTGAGCTGAAATCCAGAAGGGAGTTATTTGGCTTTTGAATAGTTTTTCCTTATCTAAGAGGCAGCAACAGTGCCCACCTTCTGGGCAGCTTCTTTCTTGGCATGATGAGCCTGTAGAACCTCCACAGCTTCATCCACCTTGGAGCAGAGAGACTCGTGTGACTCTAGCATGTGCAGCAGCTCAGAGTTGTCTATCTCCAGCAACATCCCTGTAATCTTTCCAGCTAGGGTTGAATGCATTGATTGGATGAGTGGGAACAGACGTTCTCCCAGCATCTGCTTTTGTTCTTGTGGGGGTGCTGCAGCCAGCATTGAGGCAGTTAGGGGCTCCTGACCCTGCACATGAACCGCAGCCTGTGGGGGCTGTAGAGGCTGTAGCACAGGATGAAGGCTGAGGACATTGGAGGCATGTTTGTATGGTGCCACAGCCCGAGGAGCCGCAGCAGCTACGGCAGCCCGAGGTGCTAGGTTCTGCACAGCTGTGGGTACACCGACTCTCTGAGTGGTAGTAGGGAGGCCACGAGAGGCCGGAGCATTACCAGTTGGAGCCAGATGGCGAAGAGCTGGACGTGGCCCAGACTGGCGTACAGCACTTGGCTTTCCTTGGAAGCCTTGAGGTCTCCCACCTTGCTGCCAGCGTGGATTAGGTCTCATCTGTGCTAGCTGGTTCGGCATGTAATAAGGAGGTCTTCCCCGAGCCTGTGGAACTGCAGGCACAAAGTAGCCCCCAGCTGCAGGCTGAAACTGATTTAAGATGGCATTGGCAGGGAGTGCTCTCATTCCTGCCACCC